ATCATATTAAATAGTAGTATTTTAAAAAAATTAAACTATTATTTAATTTTTGAAACCATTTAACATTATTTATATTTTTAATTAAAACATAAACTCAAAAAGAGTTTAATATTAGATAAAATGTGTTAAACTACTCATACTAATTATTTTTATTAAATGAATATTTAGTTTAATTACAAATTAAAAATTAAACCAAAAGTTCTTTGAACTTTATATATTTAAAGATAATTATTATGATATCCCTCCATCTATATTTTTCGATCAAGTTCTTTTTTCACCTAATAAAAATGTGAATCATACATGTATTTGTTGAATTTGGTCGTATGCAGGTTTTTACCTTAAAAAATCAGATCAGGTAAAATTTCTCTAAATTCAGATTAAGTCAAATTATACATGAAAAAAATGTTATACTCATATTGAATTCGAATTGGTAAAAGACAAACGTCGAACCAACTCATAATGATATTTAATTATAATATTTACAAATTAATAAAATATTTTTTTGCCAAAAAATATACTTCATCTTTTATTCTAACCTCTTGATTTTATTTATTTATTTCGTCTTTGATTAAAGAAAAACAAAAGGTATCAATTATCAATTTGCTATGATTAAATAAGACCTTAAATTTTTTTACACAAATAAAAATAATTAGTTTTATTAAAAAAATTCAAAATTACATTGAAAATCTTATAAAATGGTTGTCCCTTGTTCTCATATGTAATGGGGAGGTAAGATAGTAGGATGCCCCCAACACTAGGTTGAGAGCAGCTTATAGTAGGATGCCCCCAACACTAGGTTGAGAGCAGCTTCCGTAGGAGATCTCCAAATTATGAAATGTCTTCTATGAGACTCGATCCCACGACCTCAAGGTAAAAAATCTTGTGCTCTACCAACTGAGCTAGACGGTCATTTCATTAGCATGAAACTAACAACTTAAAATTAGATAAAAACTATACAAGAAAAAAGTTAAAAAAAAACTTATCCAAAAGATGATAGTTCTTTTAAATGAAGTTATATATTTAAATTATGACGTTTTAAATAAAGTAACTTGAATTAAAAATAGAGAAAATAACTTCAGTGACCAAAAATATCTTATAATATACGATTTTAACCAATTTTTTTTGGATTTACCAAAATGACCAACAAAATCGCAATGCGATCGCTAATTCGCAAAGCGATCTTAGGTATCGCAAATCAGTTTCCAGATTCGCAACGCGAACTTCGACTATCGCAACGCGATTTACATATTCGCGTTGCGATTTTCCAAGTTCGTTGCGATAGTCTCCAAGTTCGTTGCGATAGTCTCCAAGTTCATTGCGATAGTCTCCAATTTCGTTGCAATAGTCTCCAAGTTCGTTGTGATAGTCTCCAACTTCGTTACGATAGTCTCCAACTTCGTCAACTTCGTTGTGATAGTCTCCAAGTTCGTTGCGATAGTCTCCAAGTTCGTTGCGATAGTCTCCAAGTTCGTTGCGATAGTCTCCAAGTTCGTTGCGATAGTCTTCGAGTTCGTTATTGCATTTGTCTCTTAAGAATTTTCTCTAAAAATATAGTATTCGCGCGGACGTGTCGAAGACACGTATTACCACGACCACGACCACGACCCGAGACGGACGAACGGCGACGGCGCGCGAGAGTCCCCTTGTTCTCTATCACTCAACAAGGAAGTGGGAAAGTCAAGCCTTAAATATCATTCCCAATAGTATTTCCAATATTATGTGGGATTGAGCATTACCAACACTTGTTCCCAATAGTATTTCCGGATACACTTTAAGTTCAATCATAATCAACATTTACTACTTGCTCGAAATACCGAGCAGAGTAAACAATATCGTGATGAATTATTTTGTTAAGTTGGTAAAGCATGTTCTTGGATTACGAGAGGCTTATTGTAAATGTAAACAAAAAATTTCTTATGTTTCTTCATAGTTAAAGTGCTAGTGAATTTTCAATCCCACATAGTATTCGAAATACTATTGGGAATTGTATTTAAGGTTTGGTTTTCTCACTTCCGTGTTGAGTGATAGAGAACAAGAGGAACTCTCGCGCCGTCGCCGTCCGTCTCGTCTCGTGGTCGTGGTAATACGTGTCTTCGACACGTCCGCGCGAATACTATCTTTTTAGAGAAAATTCTTAAGAAACAAATGCAATACCACCAGTCGTTGCGATTTTGGACTATCGCAATGAATTTGGAGACTATCGCAACGAACTTGGAGACTATCGCAACGAACTTGGAAAATCGCAACGTGAACTTGGATTATCGCAATACGAATATGTAAATCGCAATGTGATAGTCGAAGTTCGCGTTGCGAATCTGGAAACTGATTTGTGATACCTGAGATCGCGTTGCGAATTAGCGATCGCATTGCGATTTTGTTGGTCATTTTGGCAAATCCAAAAAAAGTTGGTTAAAATCGTATATTATAAGGCATTTTTGGTCACTGAGGTTATTTTCTCTTAAAAATATTATTATTATAATAAAATTATATAATATCAAATCATAATTAATTAGCTAAAAAGGATTTCATAACCATTAAAAAGCAAAAGATTTCAATAAATTATATATGATGAAAAATACACAAAATTTAGAGAGTACATATTTAATACATTGATTAGCCCTGTAATGTTGTTTATTAGCTTGCAAGAATTGTTCTTTGGAAGTACCCCCTTGTAAGTTCCGGAATTTTTCCTTATATGAAAAGACAAATTACATAATCCAAATGTTATTTTATAGTACTATTGGAATTTTTCTTTAAGATTATGATGTAATTTATATCTTTATTTTGACCGGTTAAATGAAAAAAATGCACTAATTTTTTGATATTTTATTTTCAAACGTTTATTTTATTTTATTTTCATATTCAAATATTAAAGTTTAATTTGCAATATCTTTAAAATTTATCAGTTGATACGACATGTTGAAAAAAAAACTTCTTTAATATTCATACAATTAAATGAGATGACATATACGGTTACATATTTAGTCATTAATTTATTCTTGTAATTTCATTTTACATTCAACTATTTGTTTTAAATCATACCTAATACGTTTTAAGATGTTTATATTTTGATCGTTAATCTTTTAAAATCTTATTTCTAACAAAACTCTAAAATCTTATTCTAAATTACAATCGTTGACCTTAACTTTTAAACATTTGATACTAAACGCTAACACTAATAGCATTCATTGTCTCAAACCCGAGACCTAATGAATGACAATTAATTTTTTACCATCGTTGTTGCTTGATTTATACTTAAATACTTATTTAAATTTAAATACTTATTTAAATTTAAATACTCTGTATAACACAACATACAATGATTTAAATATAGTATATATTAAATACATTTTTTAATCAAAGACTATTTTAAATATCTAAATGAAAAATATTATATAATTTAAATATTTATTTTTTAAATAAACCAACTAATAATTATGTTTAGATAAGTTATAGATTCTTTTAACTTAGTTAGTGCAAGCTTTAGCTTCCACCATGGGACCCAACAGAAAGTTCCCTACACCCGGCTTCACTTAATCAAAACCCCGCCCCCGCTTCCTCAACAGAAAGAATTCAAAAGATCCACACAATGACGAAAATACCCTCAACCTTTTCCCATATTTCCCACCCTACGAGAAAAAGAAACGTTCCCTCTGCTTTCTGCTATTGGCCGTTTCTCTCTTAATTTCGTACTCATCATTTCTCTCTATCTAAAACTCTGATCGGCCGACGTCTTCCGTCTCTGTTAACTCCTGGATTCCGTCAGTTCCTTAACGCCGTTGACTCCGGGGGATTTTGTTCTTCCCTTTGTACTTACTTTCACTTTGTCTTTTGGTAATCCATTTTTAAATCCTTAAATTCCGGGGGATTTTGCTCTTCCATTTTTCAGTTTTCGGATTTTGAATTTTCCCTAGAGGAAAAAAAAAATCCGTATCACTCATTCAATGGTAAGTAATTAAATGCAAATATTTAATCTGTTATTTTTTTTAATTTTTATGGTTTTGCGTTGAATTTATGAATTTATTGTATTGCTTTTAGTTCAAATTCTGCATGCTTTGGGGTTTCCCCGCTGTTTTGACCGTTTGAAGAGGAATCTGAGTTGGGGAATTTTTCACATGTATCGTGTTTGGTTGTTGAGAAAGTTAAAGCAAAGTGGAAAACTAATGTTTTGATTGATTGTTTTCTCATGATATGTTTCTGAAGTTCAAATATTTTTCTTCTGATTTTCTTGTAAGTCAATTTTCAACATATTGCTTTCAGTTTTATTCTTTTATACTTAGGGCTCACTCTCTCTATTTTTGACTTAATCGAATATAAATTGATTTGGTGATCAGTTTTGATTTTCCTCTATTTTTATCAGAATTTTATGAACTTATTTTCATTTCTGGGGAAGGTTTTTAAGGATTTGAAAATGGTGAGTAACTGAGTCGAGTAATTTGGTCTTTTTGGTAACTTTACCTTGATGGGGTTGGTGGTGTAGTGAATTAGATACTTTTAGATTGAATCTCAATCTCAGCTCTGACATATCTGTTTTATAAAAGTTTTTTTTGTTTGTTTAATGTTAAAAAAGGGGGAAAATCTTTAGCAAGCAACAGAAAGTTGCATAATTTTATAAAAATAAGTTATATAATAGTTAATCTGTAGATATAAGTATATATGCATATATATATGTGTATGAATGTATGTATACATATTTGCATATGCTTTCTTTTCTTTTGGTATAAAAACTTTTTTGTTTCATGATTGGTATCTCAATGTTGCATATGCTTTCTTTCCTTTCTATCTGGTATATAAATTCCAATTCTGAACTTCATATGAGTTGTATTCTGTGCAGTTGTTTTCTTAACCAAGATTTATTTCTCTGGTATTTGCTTTATAGATTGTCCCCACATTCTCTAGTGATTTTGATGATGTTTTTGTGTGTGTTTGATGTATTTTTTCTTTCTTTTTTTTACTTTCTTCTATGGTTTGTGTATTATATCTCCAGGTTCTTTGAGGCTCCATTCTTTCAAAGGTTGTTGTCCTTGTTGATGATATATAGAGATGAAGAAGCTGTTTTTCTTCAAATCTTCCTCTAGCAGTGGTCACGCCAACGCCGTTGTTCCTTCACCATCAGCAGACAAGCAAGTTTTCTGGGAAAACACATTGGAAAGTGGGTTCAATGATCAACTTGGTGACAAGGCTGAATACAGTTTTCTCAGTCCTAGACGTTTCTTTGGAAAATCTCAAAAGCAAATACCCAACAGCCCTAGCTTTAGTAACAGCCCGGCCGGCCTTCGCAGGAGTCATTCTTTGTCATCAGCAGCCTTTCTTGTTGATGGTCTGGGACAAGAAGATTTTCCTTCCTCATATGATCAAAACAGGTCTCCTAATATTACTCCCTATCAACAGTATGATCAATCATCTCGGTAAGGAATTGCTGCATTTGATGTGTTTGTTCTCGTTTACAGAATATAAAGTTGATTGATGGTCCACCCTTGTTCTTGTGGTTTATTCCAGGAGAAGAACTAGTTCTTCAAGGTTGCGGCATGATTCATCTGGAAGCTCTTCCTCTTGCTCTAGCAATGTGTCAAGTAAAGTTGTGGACTGCTATATAGATGGAGAACAGCGGCAGGAAAGCAGCAAGTCAAAGAACAGTTCTAAAATAAATAATCTCGGAAATGGTGGTGGGAGGTTTCCCCCACGAGTTCAATTTACAGCTCCTCCGTCTCCTACTGATAGTGTCAAAGAGAGAAACAAATTTCATTCATTTAGGGAAGCTAAAGGCACACGTCTTCAGTTCTCGTCTAGAGAACGGGAGGAAAACGGGTTCGGGCATGAGTCGCCTCGGATGATTGCAAAGAATGTGATTGAGAGGCTTTCGCAGACTCATGTCCCGAGATCAAGTTCTAAGGAATTCGATCTTCATATTCCGATAACCACCAAAGATGTATATGGTGGATACATGAATAGATGCCCGGAGTCCAAATTGGATATAATGGATGATCCTTATGAAAACGATATTGGATATCATGAGGATATCTCTGGCTTGGACAAGCAACATTTTTTCCTTGGGGGAAGTTCTAACGGTTTGAACTCTTCCGAAACAGAAGAGGATACAGATGTGGAGTTACAAAGAAGATCAAAAGAAGCCGAGGAGAGAGTTTTGATTCTTTCTGAAGCTCTCGAGCAGGAAAGCTTTCTTCGTAACATCGGTTTTAATGTTTCGTCTCTAGTTGAGACCATTAGACGACTTTCAGAGGACAAAATAGACCTGGCACTTGAGGTTTCGGAACTTCTACAGTCTAGAATTGCAGAGAGAGACCGTGCTAGGGAAGAAATGAGAATGACAAGGGAAGAACTGGAGTCACAGACAAAAACACTCGAGACGGAGAAACATGAGATACAGTTGGGACTGGAAAAGGAGTTAGATAGAAGGTCGAGCGATTGGTCGTCTAAGCTTGAGAAGTATCGGTTAGAAGAGCAAAGGCTTCGCGAACGAGTTAGAGAGCTTGCGGAGCAGAATGTTTCTCTTCAGAGAGAGGTCTCTTCTTTGAATGAAAAGGAAACTGAAAACAGAAGCATGATGACTTATTCCGCAGAACAACTTAAAGAGTTGACTAGAAGGGTCGAAACATTGAATGATGAGAATGAAGATCTCAGGAAAAATCTCTCCCAATTGCAAGAGAAGCATCAAGAAGCAATAGAAGATACTGATTGCATTAGAAGAAATTTTGAAGAGAAAGATAAGGAGCGCAAGGAATTGCAGAAGTCCATTTCCAGATTATTTCGAACCTGCAGTGAGCAAGAGAAAACAATTGAAGGGTTGCGAGAAGGATATGGTCAGGAGATGGAGAAGAAACATTCCATGGAAAAAAATGAAACTCGGGTGAAAAATTTACAAATGGAGCAAATGAGGTTGATTGGAGTAGAATTGGCATTAAGAAGGGAAGTGGAGTCTTGTAGGCATGAAGTTGATTCTCTTCGACACGAGAATATCAATTTACTGAACCGCTTAAAAGGTAATCGAAAAGACGTTGGAGCCTTAACCTTCAAACTTGACAAGGAAATGAGGAATCGTGTAAGCTGTTTGCAGGACCAAGGACTGTCTATGCTTAATGAGAGCACCTACTTGTCTTCCAAGTTAATCGAGTTCATCAAAGGAAAAGCTAGTCAGCTTCAAGAAACTCAGCAGGGTCTAGATGGTCAATTCATTGTTGAATCCGATATGAAGGTGCAATGCTTTAGACGTGAAATTGAAAGTCTAACAAAGAGTTTGCAGACAATATCCACTTTGCTGCAGGAGAAATCCACAGCAGTTGCCTCAGAGGTTCACTCGGAATCTATGAAACCAGACAATCAATCTTCTGAGGTAAGTTTTTGCTGAAATCTACACTTGAAGCTAATAAATGCTGAATCATTTTTCATTGCTCATAACTTTTAAAGTATGTTCATTCGTTAAACTTGTTCTTACATTTCAATTGTGGATCTATTATGATCTTTGAAGTTCATACTCACTGCTTTTGTGACACCTTTTAGGAGGTTCTAAGAACAGAGCTTAAATCAGAAACATTGCTGACAAATTTGTTGAGAGAAAAGCTATATTCGAAAGAGCTTGAAGTTGAACGGTTGCAAGCTGAGGTGGGAGCAGCTGTAAGAGGCAATGACATCCTTAGATGTGAAGTACAAAATGAAATGGACAACATTTCCTGCCTCACCTACAGATTGAAGGATCTTGAACTGCAGGTAGCTTTTGATCTTTAAATGTTATATGTTTGCCGTATGCATGTACAGAATCATACTTCTTATGAATGAAATTGCTATAATCGGGAGAATATGTGCCAGCGAAATCGAATTATTTTTGTGACAAGCGCAGGACAAGGTATCTTAGAGTTTGATTTAAGTGCATACATGTAGCTGCTTGGTGTTTGTGGTACACTCCAGTTTCTGTGCCATTGCAATGTTGCCTTACCCTTCACAATAAGGCAATTAGACACCCTTATGAAAGCTTATCAAACATATATGACTAATTATTTGCTTTCGATATGAACAGATGCTAAAGAAAGACGATAACATAAGCCATCTTCAGAACGATTTGCAAGAATCGGTCAAGGAACTAACGATCTTGAGGGGGATTTTACCAAAGGTTTCCGAAGAACGAGATTTGATGTGGGAAGAGGTGAAGCAGTATAGTGAGAAGAACATGTTATTAAACTCGGAGGTCGTCGTATTGAAAACGAAGATAGAAGCTTTGGATGAGGATGTCCTTTTAAAGGAAGGCCAAATTACCATCTTGAAAGATTCCTTAAGCAACAACAAAACGTTTAACCTTCTCGGCAGCCCGGATTTGAGTCGTGAATTCCTCCTGGAATGACCATCGCAAAGGTCGGTTTCGGTTTCATGGGGTGACTGAACATATTGTTCATAGTTTTATACATGTTTTATACTTTTGAATTTGTGTTCTTTGAGGTTGCTTTTTCTTTGTTTTCATTGGTTGAAGTGTTGGGTGAGGAAAGAAGTGAGAAAGGGATGGTTTGATTCTGTTATAGACTGAAAGTCATACAAAGTATATGTAGTTGGTTTTCATCTCATAAAACCAGATGAAATTTTATTTGGACCGGCCGGTTTAATTGAAGTAATTTTACTTGGTGCTCTTTCTTTGTTATAAAGTCATACCACATGAAATAATGTTGTTAAAATCAGATCGAATAAAAAAATATTCTTTTAACAATTTTCAGTTAAAATCATAAAATAATGAGAAGTCACTTAACTATTGTTAGACGTTTTGACCGATGGATAGTCAAGTTAATTGACTTAACACTCCACATCAACATTCTATTATGTTAATAATGTCTGTGAAAATCCAGTAATCGATTTATTATAAATCGATAATATAATAATCAATTCTTTAATTTTAAAATTTTAGTGGAGAAAACGAAAACTCACTCGAAGATAAATGACTATTTGTGTAGTTTACCCAAAATTAAAAGGAAAAGGGGAATTATATAAACAAATATAATTTTTACTCATGTTCGTTCGAAGAAACATAAAATTTTATTTTTATAAGTTTATTTAACTTAATAAATAAATATAAATAAACGGTTTATATCCATAAATCCGCTAATTTTTTATGATTAAAATAACAAAACTAGACACGTATCACGTTCAATTGGATGCACCAAACTGTGAGAATGAAAAGAGAGAAGAAATTCAAAATAATTCTAAAAGGCCAAAGCCGATGAGGAGAAAGAGAATCGTTTGCAGTTGTTTGCTAAAAACAGGAGAAAGACAGATGAGTAAAAGTTGCCTAAAATGTTGGTTTGTTCATCGTTGGAGGCAACAGGTCAAAGTCAAAACCCCCTTCAACCAATGAATTAGAAAATAAAAAAATAAAAATAAAAATAATCCAACAAAAAAGAAAGAAAGAAAGGTCACCTTGTTATGGCCTTGTTATGGTGGTTTCCAAAACTCAAAGATTTGTTTTTGTTAATTGTTTTTCTCTTCAAATCTCCCTCCAAGTCTACCTCTCAACCTTTCTTACAGCCTTGTTTTGTTTTGTTATGGGGGTTTTCATTTGATTCTTTTGTTTATTTAATCCTTCAAAATAACTAGTCTTTTAATTCTTCATCGACAGGCTTATAACTGAAGAGATTGCAATGTTCTCCACTGTTCTTAAGGTATGTAATAAGAAAATCTCTGTTGATTCTTTCTTCTTAATGATTGCTGTTTATACCTATTTGGTGTTCTTAAGGTGATGGGTATGTTTTTGAAAATTCTTTCATGCTTTGAGGTTGCAGATTGGTTGGTGTCTGAAAATTTCTTATTTTTCTTCCAAAGTTCATGTTTTTATGCATGTAATGAGGTGACAGAATGGGGTTTTAATCTCAGTTTCAAGTCCATAGATGTTGTACAAATCGATTGGTGTCTGAATTTCTTTAATGTTATTCTAGATTTCTTGTTTTGGTGTTGTTTAATCTCTGTTGGATATTTCTTCTTAATGATCGTTGTTTATATCTGTTTGGTGTTCTTAGGTGATGGGTATCTATTTGAAAATTCTTTCATGATTTGAGGTTACAGATTGGTTGGTGTCTGAAATTTTCTTGTTGTTGATCCAAAGTTCATGTGTTTATGCAGTAACGAGGTGACAAAATGGGGTTTTAATCTCAGTTTAAAGTCCATAGATGTTGTACAAATCGATGGGTGTCTGAATTTCTTTAATGTTGTTCAAGATTTCTTGTTTTGGTGTTGTTTAATCTCTGTTTCGTGTTGGTGTCTGCGAGTAAATGAATGTAAAACAATAAGATATTTGTGGTTGGAAGGCAGGATTTAAAGTGCGGCTCGGCCTGAGAGCCTCTGCATCCCCTCAGATCCCGTTTTTCTCGGTTGTGTTGTGAACTTTTCGAGCCGGATCAAACGGAATGCGAGTCATGAACTCTAACAGTCTGTTTTCATTTTAATGGTTTTATAGATTAGAGGTGTGGAATTTCTGTCATGGTTTCAAGTTCATATCTTTTTCTTTGATGTTTTTAAGATATATGTATTGATGATTGACAAAGTTTTCATTGTCTGAATTATGCAGATTGATGTTGTCTGCACTTGTCAATGCATGATTGAATTCTGAAACTTCGGTTGTGTATTTGGAAATCGAGAAAAGCCGGAGCAAATTCATAGGGTCGATAGAGTTTTTGGTGTTGATTTTATGAAAAAAACTTGATTGCCGGGTTATTCGGGTTAGAATATGTAAGTTATGGTATCGGGATCATTAATGCGAATGATGCCGCCCTGCTGGAGGCCTTCTTCCGTTGAGGGTGAAGCATCTAGTAGTAGCAATGATGATGGTAGGGTTGACGGGTTGTTGTGGTATAAAGATTCCGGAGAACATGTTGCCGGTGAGTTTTCGATGGCGGTAATTCAAGCAAACAATCTATTGGAAGACACTAGCCAACTCGAATCAGGTCCCTTGAGCTTATTCGAAACAGGGCCTTATGGGACGTTCGTTGGAATTTACGACGGTCATGGAGGTCCAATGGCCGCTAGGTTTATAAATGAACACCTTTTCAGCTATATCAAAAGTACGTTATTCTTTCTACTCTATGCCAAATTTCATCATAATTTGATATGTTGTCCACTTTAATTTGGATAGCGTTTGATGTTTGATGAGTGACATTTTGGCTCATTTCAACCGGTTGTCTCGGAAACTTCGTATTCGATAGTCATAAGACATAAAACACCAGACCATGCACCTTGAATGATGCCATGTTTACTGACTTAACACCTATTATGGTGCAGAGTTTACAACCGAGAATAACGGAATGTCAGCGGACGTAATCAACAAAGCGTTTTTGGCGACCGAGGAAGACTTTCTTGCTCTTGTCAGGAAGCACTGGCTAAATGACCCGCCGATGGCTTCTGTCGGTTCATGTTGTCTGGTAGGAATAATATGTAGAGGAGTGCTATACATTGCGAATGCAGGAGATTCTCGGGTGGTCTTAGGGAGACTGGATAACGACTTTAAAGAGGTTAAGGCAGTTCAGTTATCATCCGAGCACAATGCAAGTCTTGAACCCGTGAGGGAAGAGTTGCGATCATTACATCCCGATGATCCACAGATTGTGGTCCTAAAGCATACAGTATGGCGTGTGAAGGGTATCATACAGGTAGTACATTGTGTTTGTTGGATATTTCTCTGTATTTGTTAATAGTTTGTTGTTTTCACCTATATTGCTCCGGCTCTTCATTTTGCTTGAAGTATCCATGTTACGGCTGTTGAATATGAAGTTTCAGAAAATACCAATATAAGTGTTAAGTCATTTTTGTTTCGAGGTTCCAGCATACTTATAGTTTGTTAACCAAAGTGTAATTTGTGACAGATTTCCAGATCCATTGGCGATGCTTATCTAAAGAACGTGGAGTTCAACAGAGAACCTCTATTGCCGAAGTTTAGAGTTCCCGAATCATTCGATAAACCAATCCTTAGAGCTGATCCGGCAATATTAGTACATAAAATTGACCCTGAAGATCATTTTCTTATTTTTGCATCAGATGGTCTATGGGAACACCTTAGCAATCAGGAGGCCATTGACATTGTCAACACGTGTCCACGTAATGTACGATTTCTTTTTGAGTTTTTCTTTTTATCGGACTAGAACAGTGCTGATCCGATTCTTCATTTTACCTTAAGTGCTTGTGTCTGGCATTTGTGTCCAATGCATATCTAGATATTGGTATAGAGATATAATTCTCCGAGTCAGGCTTTACTCATATGAACATACACACGAGTAGTAAAGTTGGACTAGAAACAGTCCGTTGTAACGAGTTAACTGTCAGCATTTTTCTAAACTAGAACCTTTTTTATGATTGAGTTCTATGTTGAGTTCTCTCAGAACTTAAAAGTTTTTTCGATTGTCGTGTTGCCTCAGGATATACTTATAAGAGAATGCTTACACAGGGTATTGCCAGGAAGCTTGTCAAAGCCGCTCTTCGTGAAGCAGCAAAGAAGAGAGAAATGAGATACTCGGACTTGAAAAAAATTGACCGTGGAGTGAGGAGACATTTTCACGACGATATAACAGTAATCGTTTTGTTTATGGATTTCCATCTGGTAAGCCACAGCTACTGGCACGGCCCTCTGGTTTCAATCCGAGGTGGTGTTGGGGTCGCCGGACATGGCATTTGCTAGTGCAACAGGTTCTAAACCTCTATCATTTGCTCCTCATTATCTCCTTTTTGTGTCGAGAAACGCTTTTCTTTTCCTTTTTTCCTATGTATAGTCACTCAACTTAGCAACTTGTTTCTGTTAATCCGTAATAGAATTCTCCAATAGATGTCAGTTACCAGTTAGAGAGTGCCTTTCGGAGAATTCCTTCAAAGTTCACTCTGCTAACTGACACATGATAATTGAAAATATATAAATTCATCAACATATATGGTATTGCCAATTTGCCTGAAGAACCGGTTCGTATTGCGCCGGTATTAATTTTTCTTGGAAGAATCCATGTTAGACACTTGTTTCGGAGGATGATCCATCCTCGAATCAGGATAACAGAGTTCTAATTGTTGTTGTTGCCTTGTTGTTTCATATGAATCGAGCATAAGAGGAGTTGTTATCTCTTCCGGATGATCTTATCTCTGAACACCGAATCTATGGGGATTCTAACGACCTTAGTTTCATCCGAACCCGAAACATAACATCAGATGAATGCACTGAATTCTTGTTTCAGAAGTTTATATGAACATAGGCCTTCTTTTTAGCAGTTGGAAGTTGTCATTTGAAACTGTAGGTGTTTGAAGGCATGACGACGGCGATCGAACAACGGAACCATGGCCGATACCGACACGTTTCTTCGAGCTCTTGTTTCCGCGGATATAGGAAAATTACTCGGTTTGCAGACTTCATTCTTTCCACTATGCGTTGTATTAAATAGAAGGGAACCCTCTTTTCATGAATTTGAAGAAATTTTATTTATTATTTTCAATCATAAAGTGAATGTGCCAAAATGTAATATTTTAGCCCAATTTGATTAAAAATTCAATAAGAGGTAGATTCTGATTGTTATCAAATAGTGTTTTTGATAAAATCGAGTTAAAACAATCGAATTTTTTTATTTCTTCGATTAATTCGTTTGGTTTTTGTGCTTAATTCAGTTCATATTTATCAGTTTTATACCTGCAATTTGAATAAATCGGTTAACTGTATATATATATATATATATATATATATATATATATATATAATTTAATTTTGATATGAAATTTATTTCAGTTTTATGATTAAGTCGATTTTTTAGTTATTGATATATGAAAATCGAATTCAAAATTTTGGATTTAATAAAACTGAAATTTTTTATATTTATAATAAAAATAATACACAAACTTTAAAAACAATTCATATATTATCTTATGGGTAAATTACGCAATATGATTATTATTTTTATTTTGGTAATTTAATTATAAAAAATTAACCTCATAATTAATGGTTTCAACTTTAATAATGACGTGATGTTTTTTAATTGATAGTGTTAAATTTAATCCTCTAATAGTTACATATCTCGTCAGTTTATCTTAATTTTAATAAATATTATAAATCATTTAAATGTATCTAAGAAAACTAAAAAAATATATAAAATTATAAATAAAAAATTGATATAAATTACAATAAAATTATAAAAAATATAAAATAAATAATAAAAATAGAATTTAGTAATAAAAGTTGTAATAAGTTTCTTGTGTTTTTAAGCTTTGACTAAATAAGATAATACAAACAATTTGAAGTGTCTTAACCAAAGAAGCTTTGCTTTAAATCATCTAATAGAACAAGAACTTACGTAAACAAAAGTAGAAACCATTGCTTTTGTTTAGTGTTGATTTACCTTCACCACCTAAACAATTATTTCTATTTCACTCCTTTTTAATTTCTATGTTTTTATTTCAATTGATAAAATAACTAAATATATATATCAGATAAAGCATATTATAAGTCACTGAACTATATTCAAATAATTGTTTTAAATTTTCAATCGAACGGTTATATAATGATCATTAAATTTATGAAACTTTTACAATTATTATAACATCGTGGTGACTGTTTGAGAACAAGTCGATAAATTTAATGATCATTTTATAATTTTTGAAAGTTTAATAAACCAAAACGATCATTTGAACATAATTTAGTAACATCTGGGGTACTTCATCCATATATATTTTGATACTGAACTTGATCTTAAGGTACAGTTTGATACTTATTTATTTAATTAAGTACTTAACTTGGCTGTTAGGTTCAATTTGGTGCCTGAATTTAATTTCATGATACAAATTGATTCAAATAAATAACTCACCATAAGTATCTATTTGGATAAAAAATGAAGTTCATGTATCAATTTGAACCAACAAGTCAAATTCATGTACCTAATTAGACCAAAAATAAACTTTGAGTATCAAATTGAACTTTAAAGAAAAGTTCATGTATCTAATTAGAAAAAAAAGTGTAGGTACTAGATTGCATCTTGAAGCTAACTTTAGATACCAAAAACCTTACACATATATAAATATATATTTAAAATTTTATTATTTCAAAAGAAATTGTTCAACGCAATCATGAGTTTCTCCCTCTTACATCTCTAATTAATTTCTCGTCCTTTTGCTTTTCCCGTCGTCACTCTCCTTTCTCTCTCTCGCTCCATCAGACTTTCCCTTCATCCAAACAGCCAATAACAGAAACACACACACACACAATCTCTCTATTATCTTTTTACGTTGGCATAAATTCTACTAACAAAAAAATCTCCGAAAAATCCTCTTGTACCGTCACCGACACCCCTCCTGAATTTCACAGGCCTATCAAATCGATCCACGTCAGCACTAACAAATGAGATTCTCCGCCGCCGCCGGCACTGCCACCATAACTGCTTCCACCAAAGGCGGAAATCCCCTTATAAGCTTCGAACACAAGAGGTACGCTGTTCTCGCCACCTGTCCCTTAGATTCCTCTCTCTGTCTGTGTGTTCCATTATAATTTTGATTAGATCTTTCTCTTTGTTTTATTTTTAGTAAAACTTTTCTTTTACTGTTTTTGAATCTTATCCGTTATTCTCGATTTGGCTTTGATGATCTGAAACGTGATATACTTTTACGAACAAATTTTAATGGAGAAAATGTGAACATTTGCTGCATTCTTGCTTTAGCTCTGCAATCTTTGGATGCCGACTGCCGGATAATTGAAGATCGGTTTTGAATATTTTGACATTTTTGAGCTAGATGTCAAGACCTTATTGAACTGATCACAGTTTGGTTTCGTAATTGAGGAATGTGATGGCTGGTTGCTAGCAAGTTATGTTGGCCATGGCTGAAATGTTGTTGGAGTTCCTGATCTTTTATTGATAAAATTTTCTTCATGGATTGTAGACTTGTAGTTTGAAAGTGTGTGGCAAATGACTGATAATGGATATTAGAGAGGTTTGCTTTTTTGACTCTACGTTGTTGTCTGGTCACTAGTGCATGTAAGCAATGGTTGGAGAATGATTGCGGGTAAATGCAAGCTGTTTTTAGATCAAATTACGAGCTATTTTACTTTTAGTTTGATGTATATGCTTGATTCTCTATGAGTTATCTTATTTGAATTTGGTAAGTTTAAGTTAACAAAACAGATAATTTTAAGCCAGTTTTGCGTAAGACATTGTGGTAACCTGTGATTTTTGGAGCCGATTGTAAGTAATTAAGATAGTTCTCTGTTTGGGTTGTGGAATATATGCTATCCTTTTATGTGTGTTTTGTTTAGGAATGACTTGTTGTTAGTGCGAACTGTGAAGGCTTTTTGTGAACATTTGGAGGTTACCAAAGCGTTTATTATTGACAGGGATGCTTATGGATTTGTGGTGAGACCTCAGCATGTGCAAAGGTACAGAGAATATGCTAATATCTACAAGGTATTTTTCTTGACTTGGTCTCCTGCTTTAATGCCATTTTTATTTTAAACCATCATCTTTTTTCGGCTGGTAGGGAAATGGACAATTAAATGCCAAATCATATATCAAGGTGGCTATTGAATATTGTTGTCTCACTCTCTGACTTAGTTAGAAATGGTTGTTAATGTGTTGCAGAGATCTGAAACTGAAAATAACTTAAGCAAATAAATTCTGCGAAGACTTAAAATATTTCGTGTAATACATCTGCCCTTCCCCAACTTCTATCTTCCACACTCTTATGGGTCTTGAATGGTAACAAGCTCAATTGTTCAGGTCTTTCATATAGTTTCTTTAACTAATTTCTGGGCAACTGAGTAGAGATCAAAGGAAATAAGTTCACCTAAGATAAATTATATGTTTAGATCCTGTCTATTTCCATGGCTTTAGGAAGAAGAGGAGGAAAGATCAGATAGGTGGAATGATTTCTTGGAACGTCAAGCAGAGTCCGCTCAATTGTCAATCAATAGTATATCTTCAGAAGAAGGCAAGGAGGCCTCACATGCTGCTGAGGATGGGAACAATGTAGTAAAGAAGAGCGCTGAAGGAGATGATTTGTGTGAAAGAAAGTCTGGTTCTGACAGCCTCTCTGAGAATGATACAAAAAAAGAGAAGGTGCAATCTGCACCAGAGAAAAGAGTTCACCAAATCCAAATATGGACTGAAATTCGATCGACACTTCGGGCCATTGAGGATATGATGAGTATTCGTGTAAAGCAAAAAGGAATTCTATCAAAAGATGAGCTAAAAATCAGTCGAGGAAAGCCATTAACTCCTACTGATGATGCTAGATCCACAAAGGGAGCATCAAAAGAGGATTCTGATGATGAATTTTATGATGCAGAGAGATCTGACCCAGTTCAGGATTTCCCTACAAGTGGCATTGGAAATACCAGAACTGCTGCTGCTGGTGGTGGTGGTGCTGATGCAGCTCCTACAGAATCTTTGTTTCCTTGGAAGGAAGAGTTGGAAGTTCTTGTTCGTGGTGGAGTGCCAATGGCTCTTAGGGGAGAGGTGTTTATTTGATCTTTCGTTATTCTCTCTTGATTTCCTGCACACTCTTTTCCTTTCTCTCTCATGATCTTGGACATTTCAGCTTTGGCAAGCCTTTGTTGGTGTGAGGGCACGCAGAGTGGAGAGCTATTACCAGGATCTACTTGCTAATAAAACTAACTGTGGCAACAACACTGAACAACAGAGTTTGCAATCAGACTGTAAGGGTTCAACAACAGAGCCCGTATGTGGTCCTGAGAAGTGGAAGGGACAGATTGAGAAGGTTGTTCCATGGGCAGTTTCTTGAATTCTACATTTAGTTTCTTCAGCAGCTGGTGCTACCTCTTTTTATGTGTTATTAATTTGAGTTTCCTAATCTATTAGTGGTTCTAAAAACAGGATTTGCCACGAACATTCCCAGGCCACCCTGCTCTGGACAATGACGGTAGAAATGCTTTGAGACGATTGCTTACAGCTTATACCCGACATAACCCCTCTGTTGGTTACTGTCAGGTATTATATTCTGAAATATGTTAGCTACAGTTATGCTTCCTCTGTTTTGGTTTTATTGGGATAAGTGTTTTTCTCATGCAGGCCATGAATTTCTTTGCTGCCTTATTACTCCTCTTGATGCCTGAAGAAAATGCCTTCTGGTAGGTTTGGAGACGACTGAGAAATTCCTTGCAGATCCATTGTTCCTTTTATCTGTTGATTTTTAAGATTACAGATCTGAGCATATTTTTGATGAAGAAACATGATTTCATTCTATTTTAAATTATTTACATGCTTTCTTAGTTCAATTTGGTGGGGCCCTTTAATTTTTTGGGGCAAGCATGTCATTTATAGTAACAGAAATATTGGTTTTGTAGTCTTCTAAGTTTTGGTATATATTTCAGGACTTTGGTGGGCATTATCGATGACTATTTTGATGGCTATTACTCAGAGGAAATGATTGAATCTCAAGTAATATTTTGCCGAACTCTTTTCCTCCTTGGTAGTTGGTTTATGCGAATCTGCTTTCTCATAAATGTTAAGTGATTGGTGGAATAATTACACTTTAGATAACTGTCCTGGTAACTCATGGCCTTTTGTTAGGTTGACCAACTTGTATTTGAGGAGTTGATGCGCGAAAGATTTCCGAAACTTGGTCTGTATTTTTTCGACATTTGTTCTTTTTGTGTTATGAAATTCATATATGTTATCTTTCCATTGCTTTTTTGGGCAGTTTATGATTGACATAATTTTGGTTTACGCAGTCAATCATCTAGATTATCTGGGAGTGCAGGTGGCATGGGCTACTGGACCTTGGTTCCTTTCCATTTTCATGAACATTCTTCCATGGGAAAGTGGTTAGGTTTCATGCTGTGTCTTCTAGCACTGCTTAATTAGTTTATCAATTTATCAAAATCTTCTTTTATAATTGGTGTGTTTGTTGCTAATTTACTGATTCTGCAACATCATTTAACAATTGGAATCACCAGCGCTTAATTACTTCTTCCTGATGGACTTCTCATTACAGTGCTTCGAGTCTGGGATGTGCTCCTTTATGAAGGAAATCGCGTCATGCTTTTTAGGACAGCACTTGCTTTAATGGAGTTATATGGTATGGGATAAGACATATGAGCAATGACTTTAATGATATCTTTATGGTACTTGAAGCTTGATAAAGTGACAATGAACTGTTTTAATCTACACAATGTAACTTAATTTTCTTACAGGCCCTGCACTAGTTACAACCAAGGATGCAGGAGATGCTGTTACTTTGCTACAGTCATTGGCTGGGTCAACATTTGACAGCAGTCAACTTGTATTGACAGCTTGTATGGGTTACCAAAATGAAAATGAGAAGAGATTACACGAATTAAGAGAGAAGCATCGGCCAGCTGTAATAGCTGCAGTCGAGGAAAGATCAAAGGGGCTTCAAGCTTGGAGGGATTCTCAGGGCCTAGCATCTAAGCTATATAATTTTAAGCAGGATCCCAAGTCCATCCTAGTGGAAGCAAATAAGACAGGACAACTGGTTGATTCACAAACAAATGGAAATCTCTCTCGTTCGGATTCTGGATCCACAAATGCTGGTGAAGTTCTTATTAGTTTGACAGGAGAGGCTGACACAGATGCTGTTCCTGATCTTCAAGAGCAGGTAGCATATACATTGACCCTTTTATGTGAGATTTTATTGACACAGATGATGTTCTGATTTCTTAATTTGTTATAACAATCATGTGCAGGTTGTCTGGTTAAAAGTTGAGTTGTGCAGGTTGCTGGAAGAGAAAAGATCAGCTGTCCTCAGGTCAGATTTATATCATCTCTATGGTTTACATGTTCTTCTATCCTCGGTTTGGTATAGACTGTGTAAAAGTGGTCGTGAATTTGGGTTTTTGGTTTCAGATCTACTACTAGTTTGCCTCCTTACCTCACTTATGCAGGGACATATCTAAGCTACATTAGAATGGCTTATAAATTGGACGTACCTTGTCTGCTTAATCTTTGCAGTTTATGCTGGAATTCAAAATAATCTTTTTTCCATGGAAGCTTGATGAATGTAACTCTTGACCATCTTGCTTCTCATTTGTTTCAGATCGGAGGAGTTGGAGACAGCCTTGATGGAGATGGTAGAGCAGGATAATCGGCGCCAATTAAGTGCTAGGGTAAATGGAATATCTTAATTAGTGTCACCTCCTTTGACATGAATAGAAATGAATGACAGGAATATCTTAATTATTATTTTTTTGATAGGAATAGGATGCCTCATTAAAAACCTCCCTCTTAGTAGTTCTCTACCCCAAGGCAGGAACCCACTAGCGGAAGGAGGAAAAGAGTGCATCAATTTATTAAAGATAAATCAGTTTACAAAAGACATAACAACACTATTAGAAAAACAAAAGACTAAAGACTTAACACTCCTACAGAAAACATAAGACTTAAAACACTCCTATACCAGCTCCCCTCTAATACCACAAACCACCCCAATGCCTACAACTAGTTTGCTCGGTTTTCCTGGCACCTTGGGCCTCTTAGTGGATAGCTATATGTTGGAATCTCTATGTACATTCCATCACTGTTCACTACAGAGTAGACAATTTGATTGAACTACAACTTGCAAGAAATCTGTGTTAAAAAGTAGTCATGACCCATGCCCGAGTCAGTGAGACATTAGACAGTTGGCTTGCAAACTTATATGCTTTGAATGTTTCGTGTTTCGTTGACTTTGATGTTTTATTAAGACAAACATAGTGCATACACTAAATCTGCTTATGATCTTTAGGTGGAGCAATTAGAGCAACACGTTGCTGAGCTTCGTAAGGTACTTTCTGAGAAGCAGGAACAAGAAAATGCAATGCTTCAGGTTGAACTTGTTTCCTTATGTTAAATTAGTGGAAGTTTATCTTCTCTTGTTATTCATGTCTTGATGATTATAAGATTTGTAACGCATTTCATAGGTCCTAATGCGGGTAGAGCAGGATCAAAGGGTGACGGAAGATGCTCGCAGATTTGCCGAGCAAGATGCTGCCGCACAAAGATATGCTGCTCAAGTGCTCCAGGTACCCATTGTGGTCAAACCTCATGTTTTTCCATGTAACTTTCGTCCGTAAATATTTTCTGGCAGCAATAATTCCTTTATGGTAATGACTTGAAAATTATAGGTCTTTTTAATTACTTATCATTGTAAACAAATCATCTTTCCAAAATTTAATCAGGCAGGAACCAAGGTCTTCAGTGTATCTCTTGATTTTCCGGAAGAATCTTTGCAAACAAGATAGTATTTTGGAACCTGCAAGCTGATAAACAATATTAGCCGGCGTACTCTAGTGTAGAAAATTCCCAATATGCTCTTTTCCTTGTCCCTATGAAAGATTTCCCCTCAAACATACCCTTATGGTTTCTATCAAAAAAAAACATACCCTTATGGAAATAACTAACATTGTTTTGAGTTCTTATATTTTGTTACAGGGAGCAAATATGCAAATACCATACGTGTTTTCATCTGCTTCCTTCTCTGTTGTAACTTTTATATTAATGCAGGAAAAGCATGAAGATGCCGTTGCTTCGCTTACTGAAATGGAGAAAAGAGTGGTAATGGCAGAATCGATGTTGGAGGCTACCTTACAGTACCATTCTGGACAAAGTAAAGTAGAACCTTCTCCACGGTTCGTTATAACCTCTTGCCAATTTGAAATCCTTCTCTTTTGTGAAACATTTTTAGCTGGTCTATTGGGACCTTATAATAAATATAAAAGCTTGCAGATCACTGAATCCCGATTCTCCTGCACGCAGCAATCAAGAGCCCCAACAAGAAATCCCCGCACGAAGGATTAGTTTACTTTCACCATTTGGACTTGGCTGGCGTGACAGAAACAAGGTTAGTTTTCTCGTAAGATATCTCTTTCTGGGCAATTATAAGTTTTTGGATAATTGGATGTTTGCTCTTCTGGATTAACAATATTTCATGTAGTGTAAGAATATCAAGATTGATCGATACGATTGATTGAACAAAACAGGGAAAGCCCGGTAATGGTGATGACTTAAACGATGGGAAGCCGTCTAGCGATGGCCAGAACACCGAAATCCAGCAGAATGAAAAGGAAACAAACGGCAAGGAGACGAGGAAATGAACGGCACCGAAGGTCAAGGTAAGGAGTAGGAGAATTGCCGGTTTTGTCATATTAATGCCCGCATATATATCCTTATTCATTTGTGATCCAGGAGACCGGCAGTTTGCTTCTTTATAATTTTTTTTACCAAATTATTAGATGGTAATGACTAATAATAGAAGTAAAAGAGAACGTAAGAACTAGTGCAACCATCCTTAAGAAGTTATTTTCCGCAAATCTGACCCCGAGTTCGTCTTGAGTTTCAGTATTTGTAATAAGTTTATTTAACAATCTCTGAATTAGATGGTTAAAAGCTCTTTGTTGATATCTCTCAACTCATCTAGGTTGTGAGTTCAATACCCATTAGAAGCAAAATTCTCCTTCCCCTCCCTTAGATAGGAATTGTTTTCTTTTTCTTTTTTTTTTATTAAAAAAAAGCTATAAAGTATATGGCGGGGTTTTGTAATTTTTGCTTCTATAATAGATTTTTCAAATCTTTGTTCATATTATCATTTGTATATTGATATATACTCTTCTCTCTTAGGGCTAACTTGATAAAAGCTATATCGGATGTTATCAGGCATGACCGATGATTATCGGGCGTGATGGTGACTGGTGAGATACATTATACTTTATGGAGAATTTATTTTCGAATTTTGAAAATGTGATTGCCGATAGGGGTAGTCACGTACCCCTAAACATAGACCATATAATTAATTTAGAAGATATCACAAAGAAAAGGATATCACCAGGATTGAAAGCTCAAAAAAAGCCCTCAACATTCGATAGTTTTTACAATTGCTCACTTAAAGTTTTTTGGGTAATTTATATTGTAGTATTTAATTTATCAAGTGTTCCTTTCATCCCGCTAAATTTGTCTTTTATTGATTTTTTAGAAGTTGCAAATTTTAAACTTTGATTATGACTCTTTTAAATATTTTAAATATTTTAATTTTATAGAATATATATTTAAAAACTACTTGTTTGGAATTTTTTTAAAATATATGTTTTTCATCTTTTTATTAAGGGTAAACTACTCCAATGGTCACTAATGTTTGGGTAATTTTTTGTTTTTACCACTGATGTTTTGAAAGTCACAAATTGGTCATTAACGTTATCGTTTGTTACAAATTGATCACTCGCCGTTAATAGATGTGATGGGAAACACACGTGGACTATTAATAATTGTTAACAGGCTTTCCTAGATGGTATAATTACACAAATAGTTTATGTTATTTATATATTTTTTCAATTTGATCCTAGTTTTAATTAATTAAATTAAAATATATTTATTTTTAATTCTTATAAATAATGATATATTTTTATACAAGATAATTAAGTCCAATAGCTTTAAAAAAAGGAAATAAAAAATTTAAAATTAGTTATAAAAGCAAAAAACATTAAAAGTTAAAACGATATTTTTTCAAGATAAAAATAATGATAAAGCACCTTTAACTCCTTGTTTGCCCAGTGCTCATGGATTTCAATATATATATATAACGTTTAAAATTATAATCTTTCAAAGTTTTACGATACGACTTAAATTTCCTGTTTCATTTTGAATGATAATTTCTGAAAATTTTCGATTTAGTTTTTATACTATTTCATTTCCACGGTTGGCCCAAACAGTGAATTGATCCGAATCAATGCCTACGACAAACACTTAATAATTAATAAATTATTCTAAATTTAACGACGGAACCAGATACATTAAAATTATCAATTACACATAGTCAACACAAGCAACTCGAGTCGGTTCGAAGTTTGTGGATAACGACGGAAGAGGTGGTAAATCGGTTCTTGATTCAAAATTTCTTGTAAAATTTACAACGTCCTAATCAAATCTTATATCGATAATTCCATATTACAAAATAATAATTAGAGACGAAATTAAAATTATTTTTTACTCGAACGGGGATCAGGCAATGGGTTTGGTTTGAATATAGTGTTATACTAGATCAGAAATATGGTACTATCGGCAATGAACTTCTCCGGCAGCAGCCCCCATCGGTTGGGAATGGCGCGACCAGCAGTCGGGACTGTAAGAAAATTATTAGACAATTCAATCTAAAAATTATTAAGAAAATGAAACAAAATTAAAATTATCACATTTTTTAGGATGTCCCGACTGATGGTCGTGGCATTACCGACCGATGGGGGCTGCTGCCGAAGAAGTTCATCGCCGACAGTCCCTATTTCTGATCTAGTAGAACACTATATTCGAACCAAACCCATTGCTTGATCCCCGTTCGAGTAGAAAATAATTTTAATTTCATCTCTAATTATTATTTTGTAATCTGAAATTATCGATATAAGATTTGATTAGGGCGCTGTAAATTTTACAAGAAATTCTGAATTAGGAATCGATTTACCACCTCTTCCGTCGTTATCCACGAACTTCGAACCGACTCGAGTTGCTTGTGTTGACTATGAGTGTAATTGATAATTTTAATGTATCTGGTTCCGTCGTTAAATTTAGAATAATTTATTAATTATTAAGTGTTTGTCGTAGGCATTGATTCAGATCAATTCATTGTTCGGGTCAACCGTGGAAATGAAATAGTATAAAAACTAAAACGAAAATTTTCAGAAATTATTATTCAAAATGAAACAAGGTATTTAAGTCGTATCGTAAAACTTTGAAAGAATATAATTTTAAATGTTTTTAATATATATATATATTTTGAAATCCATGGGCACTAGGCATACAAGGAGTCAAATGTGTTTTATAATTAATTTTGTCCTGAAAAAATATCGTTTCAACTTTTAATTTTATTTTTTATAACTAATTTTAAATTTTTTTATTTTTTTAAGCCGTTGGACTTAAACATTTAATTATTTTGTGTAAAAATATATTATTATTTATAAGAATTAAAAATAAATATATTTTAATTTATTAAAACTATGATCAAATTGAAAGAATATATAAATAACATGGACTCTTTGTGTAATTATACCATCCAGGTAAGCCTATTAACAATCCACGTATGTTTTCTGTCACGCCTGTTAAATGTGAGTGACCAATTTGTAACAAACGATAAAGTTAGTGACCGATTTGTGATTTTTGAAACATCAGTGGTAAAAATGATAATTTATCCAAACATTAGTGACCATTGAAGTAGTTTACCATTTATTAATAATAAATTTTAAATAATAATGAGTCAAATTTAAAAAAAATGATAAAAGAATGTCAATAAGAAAAAAATTTAATGGGGTAGAAGGGTTGTTTTTTAGAATGACCAACCCACGATTAATATTTATATAGATGTGGTTTAACAATTCTGGGAATGTAATTAATATTTTTATACATATATTTTCTGATTATTTATTGAATAAACTTTTATACATACATTTTATGTATTAAATAGCTTATGGTGATGTAATAAAACCTAATATTTAGTAGGACTAAAGTTATGTGAAGTATTTCACATATTAATCAATTATAAGTTTTTAACATTTGTGAAATTAAAATATCAACGCAATAATTCTCCTATTTAGGTATTATTTTTTTGCTTTTTTTTAAAAATTTCACGTCCACAAAATGAACAAATATCACCAACGATTAGTATAACAACAAAGGATGATTAGGATCCATTGAAAACAAATAAATTGGTATGAAAAATTAAATAATATTATATCTATCAAGTGAAAGACAGTTGGGACCTAAACTGGTCCTAAAGTTTTATATATATATATATATATATATGAGATGAATACAAGATAATATTTATTTAAATACTTTTAATTTTTTGACAATAAATATTTATACTCTTACATACGCAATGTTTGAATCTAAAACTTCAAATTAAAAAAATAGCAACAAATTTATTAAAATATTAAAATTGTTTGGTTCGTGTTAGTCTTAAAGACTACTATCGTGTTTTGGGGCCGTTTAAGTATTATTATGGCATTTATATCGAAAATTCATAACTTGAAATGAAAGCTGAAATAGGGGACCGGCAATTATGAATTAATTTAATGATTATGGAGTATGTTAATAAATATACAAATAATATACAATAAACACGAGATGCTATTTAGTTCATCTTTAATACGTGTTTAGGAATTAAGAAAATACTCTTTTATAGTGAATTTATATAATATTTATTTTAAATTAGTTTATTAATTTTGAATATCGATCGTTAAATTAGAAAGAATTTTAAAAAAAATTAATGTATTTTCAAAGTCTTTTCATCTTTTCTCTTTCTAAAATTTTCCTTTGTTTTATTTCTAAGGGTGATGTCGATTTTTAATTGAATTGATATCACTCGTGTTTTATCATAATAGTTTGTGTTCTCTTCTAGCTTTATTTTTCAATTGCTTTAGTTTTTTTTTATTGTACATATTTTAGTTTTCTTCTTTCTCTTTTGGATTTTTAATTCCAATTAATTTTTAGATTTTTAATTAAAATTAAACAAATTAAGCTTAGACTCCTCTCATTTTATTGATTTTAATACTTATTAGGTTATTTTTGATTTTGAAATAAGACAAACCTGGTATGATCCTCATTTTTGTGTTTAAATACTTTTTAGATCCTTATCAATTTTAAAATTAAACAAATTAAACTCTAACTCTTTGATTTTAATATTTAACCCCATTACATTACTATTTATAATTAATCCCAAAATTATAAATTTGCGTTAGTTGAGAAGTGAACTAGCATTCGCATACACCATTATTGAGTTAGGGACCTTTAGGGTAGACAAGGAAAGAAAAGCCACTGAGCATCACACAAAAATGTGTGATCCTTCACTTGGACAGCCATGCTCTTTTCTTCATCTCCAAGCCAAATCATCCTTCTTTCTCTTTCAGATTTGTTTTTTTTTTACTTCAGAAAAATTTCTTGTTGATATGACGTTGACGCATCTGTTTGTGGTTCTTAAACAACTTCGTCTCTCCATTCTTTATGCAAAGGGTTGAATCTCACATCATCACCTTTACCCCACACTTTCAACCCCCCAAAACCACTCAAAATTGCAATTAAATTCTGACTGAAAATTTCCACATAATTCACCTGTTAACTTCAACCCCTCTACTGAAAAAGAAAATTTCTTTCCTTTTTCCCTTTTTTTCTGGTAGCAATTCACCTGTGATCATGTATTGAATTGTCATTTCTGCACTTAGTTTTCGTTGTTTCCATCAAACCAGAAAAATGGGTTCCACAAAGTTTGTTTCTTTTTCTCCGGTTTTATCTTATATACACTCTTTTTTGGTTAGTGTTCACCGGGGAGCAAGGTTGAAGAAAACCCTTTTTTTCTGAAGGATTTTGTATCGCCATGGGTTCATATTCATTGAAGAATCCTCTTTTGTTGAATGATGAAGTTGAGGCTGGTTTTGTCAAAACTCCATCTCTTCTGAAATCATCACTGAAATGGGGATTAAAGGTTGGAATGTGGGTGGTTTTCATTGCCTGGGTTGCTCTTATTTTCATGTATCCTGGAGAATTTGGCAAACAATTGGTTGATCGAATCATTCATGCCACCAGAGGATCTGTGTTTGGCATTTCAGGTTTGTTTCTATATTTCATTCGTTTTCTTTTCCTACTTTATTCTTTGGAAAAATTAAAAGTTCGATCATTCTACTTTATTCTCACTCTTATTTTGGTTATCAAAATTTAATTTTTTAATATTTTCATTAAACTTTTAATTTGTTTCTTAGTCGGTCCATCGATAAGTAATTAACACATCGAGAATTATTTTCTTTCAAATCCCAACAGTGAAGAGATAGAGAAGTAGTAAACGAGCTATATATTTTGATTCCACATGGATATTATAAATATGTGTGGTTTGAGATTTCACTAGTTTTGAGTTTAAGGTTGAATTTTGTAAGTTTTAAAATGATTTAGGTAAAATCTAAGTTTATAAAGT